CGCGATCTAAATAAACGAGCGATTCTTTTAGGAATAATGGAACGAAGTGTGCAATAAATGCCCGTAAACCTAGTGTTAATCAGAAAATGAATATTTGTTGTGAGAAATATTCTCGAGTGCAAAGGGTTAATATTATGTATAAGACTTTATAATTTTGCAAATTGAATCAAGTGGTGACTGAGAGTCACCTCTCGTGTGCAAAGGGTTATTTTACGGCGTGACTTTATTCTAACGGCTTTGGAAAACACGCCTAGCCCTTTCAAGTCCTCGAGAAATGACTCGGAACACCGAAAAGTAGAAGTCTCTTCTTTACAAGACCGTTTATGGCCTTTCCTGGAGAAGAGTCATTAAGAAGGATTATACGTTTACGTGAAAAAGAATTAATCGCTGAAAGAATTGATATCACTTCGATGTTCCATGTGTCGATACATTATAGAAAATTTGATATTGAATTCTAAATTCGATTATTTTGTCAAATTAAATGGCGACTGCAAGGCGCCGCTCGAGTGCAAAGGGTTGAAAAATCTAAGTTGCGCTAACCAGTCATCCGATTGATCGCGGTATGAACAGCGTTTATCTCGACGGATGCGTAAAAACATCGGACGCGCTGTTTATTGGCGGATCGGCCCCGCCCTGGACGTTACGTAACGTCCGCGGCTTTACTTCCGTCGCGCCGCGTTAACCGTCCGCCATTTAGCCGGCGCTTTGCGATTCACTCGCAGCCGACCGTTCCCGTTTACGTTGATTAACCCTTTGTGATCGAACGCCGCCTTAGCGGGGGCGAGCTTTGCTATCCGAAGTCGGCCGCTGCGAGCGGGTAATTCAATTATTCAAATAACGAGAGACTGATACGCGGTTTCCTTCTTTCGCACGGTTATTCGCCGGCGCTCGCGATGCGGTTCCCGCCGAGCGAGGCGTTAGCAGTTCCGAACGTTCCCGTGGATCCTTTAATCGCGGCGAGGGGAATTGTTGGTTTCTTGTAATGGAATAAGGAATCAGTTTGGATTTGACTAAGACGATAAGTGAACGTGTATTCGCCGGATCTCAGGGGCGCGCGATGAGTAATTAGCTTCGCGAGGAAATTCGGGGTTGAGATCTCTTCCGGTTTTCAACCCTTTGAGGACGAACGCTCGTCGAACTACAGAAAATAGTCGAATGAAGATTGTATATCGAACGTTTGAGTAATATTGAAAGATCGAATGATATATATATTGCTGTTAACCCTTTGCACTCGAGAGGTGACTCTGTCATTTGATTTGATACAGCAAAACTGAAGTGAAATATTTAGTACTTTAAATTGAACTTTGTATTGTTATGTGAAATATTCAAGTAAAATATCTTTGTTGCTTAATTTATCTGTGAACTATCGTTAGATTGGGTTCAAACAACGTTGTATGTATCTCGTCGGAAAATCTTGAATATTTCCAGTGAAAAACTTTCGAGTGCAAAGGGTTAACACTTGGCCAACCGAATGAGATCTCCCAGTTTTCACTTGGCAACGTATCACCTTTCACTCTGTTCATCTTTCCTGTTATTGTTTAGTAAGTCTCGAAGCGGGATTACTTGGAATTCATCGAATACAGTTATCGCTTTTGTAAAGCACAGTTTTTAACCAAATCAGTGAGTTCGATTGAAGATAACGAAAGTGTTAACCCTTTGCACTCCAAAAATGTCACTAGAAATATTGAATTTATTTCTATGAGATATAGACGACATTTTTTAAAACTAACTTAACGAGGAATCTATTCACAAAGTAAGGGGAACAATTATTTCTACATTTCACGTATCGATTACTCAAGACTTAACGTTAAATACAAAATTTTACAATTTGGTAAATTAGTATTGCACTAATCGAGTGGTGACTGAGAGGCACCTTCAGAGTGCAAAGGGTTAAATAACTCGTTCGCGACACGTTCCGAATGCGAAAGTTCAATTTCAACATCAACGTTCGACAAAGGGTTAACTCATTACGATTTCGTCCGGTCGAACCGATGGACGGCCGCGACGTGTCCCCCGATTTTTCATATTCGCCCGTTGAATTAATTATAAAACGAGGCGGAGCTGTAACGAAAATAACCTCGATCGATCGAACCGTCGCGGCGGCAGCGTTCGGAAAAAATGGATTTCCCTATCGTTCCGTTCTTATTTGAAATTTATCGGCTAATCGATCGGCAACGACGCGTGTTTCCCCTTTCAATTTGTCCGGGGGATCGTTTCCAACGGAATAATTCCCGAAGTAACCGTGTCCGGCCACATTCTCCTCGTTTCGTCCGGCGAGTTGCGGTGGATTAAGTTGCGAACGAGATATTCGTGCGCAAAAGGAGGATAACGGGCAGGAAAAAAGGGAGAGGGAAAAGCCGATGAACAGGGCCCTCGTTAAAATACGCGTTCCCGCGCGGATTCGAGCGGCGAGTTCGGAAGTTCCCGTCGTGCCGGTCTCCTCCCTTTGAGACACTTCGACTGAAAAAAAGCGATTTTTCCCCGGGAACGCGTTATTAGTTCGCCGTGCCGCGCGTCGAGTTGCGACTCGCTTCGTCGCGACGTTCTTCGACCCCTTGCCTTGGCTGTCCCACGTCGAGTCGGACTCGACATTCTATGTTACTGCTGTATAGCATTGATGCTATTTTTAGAGAAACAATTGCTTCCATTGTTTTCCTTTCCCAATTTACCAGATCGTCTTCTGTTAAAATCTTTCAAGCAGATGCTTCTTCTGTTAGTTTGAAACTATCTTTTAATAAAATCACCGACGCTCGCGTTTTTAGCAGCTGAAATTTAGCCGGCGTTCGATGCGTTAACCCTTTGCACTCGAAAGCTTTTGCACAAGAAATATTCAACATTTTCCGACGAGACGGCATGGTTTGAAACCAACTTAACGATAATTCACAGATAAATTAAGCAACGAAGCTATTTTACTCAAATATTTCACGTAGCAGTACAAAGTATAATTTAACCTTTCATATTTTCTCCAGCTTATGTCGAGTCGGACTCGACATTCTATTTTACTGTAACCTCTACCTGTTTTAACAGTTTTTTCTATATTTATTTGTAGTCTCACAATCGTACCATTTAAAGGTAACATTTCAGACTCCCAAATATCCTTCGTCAGGAAAGGGCTCAGTTTGACAGTCAGTATCAGTTCAGAATCAGTGCAGTGAAATTCAGTAGCAGTTCAGTTCAGAGTCAGAATCAGTTGAGAATCAGCTCAGCTATCAGTCAATCAGTCGTTTAGTCCCAACATTGGGTCCTTCGAAAAACTCAGCATACTCAAAAGTGCTCGTGACAATCGGAGTACTTTGCAACAGTATAATTCACAATACAATAATTCCTATTCCTCCGCGCGTGACGCTCCCCGTCGATATAAGATAACCCGGGACAATTACTGACAGTGTCAGCGAGAGACACCGAGAAATAGTGGAACGAATAGAGCCGTTATCTGCGGTTAACGGGTTAATCCATTTGTATAATATCACCGGTGCGCGTTTGTGCTTTCAGATTAGATTGTCCATTAACGGTCGATCAATACCGCGATATTATTGTTACTATTATATTACCACCACTATTATTATCATTAAAATATCATCAACGACGCACCGCTGTTAATTCAATCTCCATCGTCGCCGTCTACTATAATATTAGAACTTTCTATCACGATCCACGTTCTTATTCCCACGCGTTCAATTATTCAAACGCGACGAACAGCACGGAATTCGGAGGTAATGGAATATCCCTCATTCGATCATACGGGCGCGAACCGGTTGAAGGAAACTCTCGCATCCGGTTCCGCGCGTGCTGTCCCGCCGCTTAATTCGCCGAAATTTCGCATTCATCCGGCGCCCCTGTTCAAGACTGTTAATCGAATGAAAACATCGCTCGGAAGAATTCGATTCAACGGCACACGCCCGCCGGATTATTCAGGTACGCGTCGTGGCCGCGGAATTTATTTACAACCGGAATTCCGTTCTAAGCGACATTCGCGCATCGCGCGACCGTTGCCGCGCAGCGGAGAGATGGCTCGCGAAGCCGGCCGTGTTATCCGAGGAACAGCATCATTCCGAGGGAAAACAACGCGCAGCTTTCCACTTAATTAGTTATTCTTTCTTCCGTGTTCTCAACTTTCCCTCCGCTCCGCGCCTCTCCCGCGCTAATTATAAGGTTACAACGCGCCCATCGGGCTCCCGCGGTCTCACGATTTTCGGAGCGCGGCGCGCGATGATACATTATACGCGATACCCATTGTTCGCCGAAAAGAGTGTATTAATTAAATCTAAATGAAACTCCACCGGCGGCCATTCATCCCGCGGCGGGTTCAACGGAAACGGCCGGGGCCCCTCGATCGATGGGCGCCTCATTCAAATTCGACGGCGGGAAAAAGGAAGCAGACCGGGGAAACCCGGGGAAAAACAATCCGAAGGAGCCGGGGAGGAAGGATCGGCAGCCCTTAGAAAACCAGCCGGCACCGGTAATTCCGCCGGGCGGCAGCCGGAGCCGCACATTTGATGAAACACGCCGCCGAGGCCGGATCTAATAATACTCTTTTTCATCGCCGTGTCTGCCGGCCGAGCACCGTCCCTCGCCGGCTGAATAAAAAATTACTTATTACCCGTTACACCCTACTCGCTCCTCTTCCCGCGGCCGCGTGTACACTGTGATTCGGGGCTATCGCCGGGAATCCCCGAGTCGCGCTGATCCCGCTCCATGTTAAACACCGCCCGGCAAGACGGAGGAGCCCGGCCGTGTTTGAACAGTTCCCGAATTAACGGACGGAGAAAAAGGAAACCGGTGTGGGGAGTTATGAGGGAAAATGAGGAAAAAAAATGGCGGAAAGGAGGACCGGGAAGAGGGAGAGAGAATGGGGATGAAACGCGACCGAGGAAAAATGGAGACGAGAGAATAGGGGCGGAGGAGGAGGGGGAGGGAAAGGAACAAAGAGGTAGAATCGACGAGTAGCACAGTCGGGGTTACCATTGGATTTCTAGTTTCCAGGGGACTCGCGTACATACCGTTAAGTACGTGCACCAAGACGGTCTTCGTGTTGGCGTTGCTAGGGTGGCAAGTGTACTGTCCGCTGTCCGCGGGCTGCGCGCGTTGCACCAGGAGATACGAGGTCGTCACCTCGCCCTTCTCCGTGATCACCGACACACCGCCCCGTGGACTGTCGTAGTTGATCACCTGCGTTGCAAGAGACAGACGTGAGATCGAATGAGAAGGGAGCGGGATTTCGGTGATGACGAGGGGAGTCCGTGGATCGGAATTGATGATTCTGGAGGAATTGTGACGATAGCTGTGGGGTTAGTATAGTGTAGATGATGAGAAGGTGGATCTTGAGTAATAGAGAGATAGGGATGAATGTGTGTAGTTAATGAAATATGGAAACAACATGGATAATGGGTGAAAAGTATAATTCAATGCCACGGCGGACGTTGTGGGGCAAGGGGTTAAAGAAGGTGATTAAGTAATATCTAGGCTGAAATTTAACACTGGAATTACCAGTCGAAATCACTGATTTCGATTGTTCTGTTTCGAAATTACTGATATGTTAGAAGCAGTGAATATTCGGAATGATCCTGAAAATAAATAGTTTCATTCGAATACTAATCTTTCGTGGTGAATATGTGGCACCTTAACGATAGAACTACCATGGGTCAAAATGACGAATTTTTTGAGTTTCTCTTTTGCGGTTACTGAGAAGGTACACCTCTTTGGGGAATTGTTAAAGAAGGTGATTAAGTAATATCTAGGCTGAAATTCAACACTGGAATTACCAGTCGAAATCACTGATTTCGATTGTTTTGTTTGGTAAGTGTATAAGCAAGCGAAAACAACGATTTATACAGGTCGAGACGCATTAGTCAGTTATCGAGGTTGTTATTAAGCTTAGCGAATTCTAGGTGATTTAATATTATTATATAATCTGTATAGAAATTGTAACAATAGATTATTCTCAGCTTCTTCAGATACTTATTGTAGTATTCGAATGAAACTATTTCTTTTCAAGATCATTTCAAATATTTAACGCTCTCGAGGTGTCAATCATTGCGAAGCAAGTAGTTCTAGCGTTAACACGTTCACTGCCACGTGTACCAAATGTGGTACACGTTAATTTTTGTAGCAAAATATTTGTAAGGGACACTTGAATATAACTTAATATTTTGTTTAAAGTTTTTTTTTAATTTCATATATTTTGATATCGTTCCTTGATGCTCTCGGTGCTTTGTAACGTAAATTTCGGTCATATTTTGAGCTGTATTGATTCTTTAAATAAAATATTAAGTTATATTCGAGAATCAATACAGTTCAAAATATGACCGAAATTTCCGTGGCACGGAACGCGTTAACGAGGAATCATACACGATACACATGTATTCGTAAAAAAGTATCCATCACGAAAACAATGCGCACGGGCGTGGCTACTCGTTCGCGCGAAGTTCGCCACAGGTCCGACGAGACGCGGCGTCGTCTTATAAAAGTAATTACCCAATGTACACGCAGCTATTTCAATATCGGCGCAGGTAGGTAAAGCGGTTCAGGGGTTAAATGAGGTGCAGATTCCTCTCACGCTTCAGTTTACTTTAAAATATCAACACTGACCGATCTCCCGGCGTGGCCCGGCTATCCCGGATTTACCGTACACACACCGAGAGCCCGGAGAATGAGAAAAAAAGGAAGGGGAACGGAAGAAAAGGAAGAAGAGGAGAAGCGACGGCGGGGAATTAGCGAAAGACGGGGAGGAATAAAGGTGGCGAGGGTCCTGTAAACCCGGCTAAGCGAGCAAATTCCCGTCCGGCCGGCAGCGGCCGCTCGTTAGGCGTAAAACAGAGAGCCCGGCGATCTCATTTTAGCCCCCGAGCCAAAACGAATTTATTTCGCCGGGTCCAGAAACCGAATTGCCCGGAAATTCGCTTATCCGCGGTTAAATGGAATCTCCGTTCTAGCCGGCGAGCGCGCGGTTCCTCGCCGCGGACGCGAAATTTGTCAAGGGACCACCACCCCACGGTAAATATTCGTGGCACCCGAAACAACGGCAAGATAGAGAACGGCCCGGCGAAAAGTGGAAAGATGAATGCGGCATTGTGCGCGAGGGCTTAACCCTTGGCACTTCGGGTTGTTTTGTGATCTATCGGCAACTCCAACGAACTTTTATAGTATCCTTGGCGAAAATTAGGAATGCTATAACATACCTTCGATCTTTTATTTTCCTTCTCAGTGCAAAATTTGGATGTGTGGAAAATCTAATAATTTTAGGGCAGTTTCTTTAAGATTTATTGAAATATCTATTATTCTTGGAATATTGGAGCCTACAGAGTTCAAAGGGTTAACTATTATACTTAAAAGGAAATATAGGCATAATATATGCTTAGAATTTTTCTCTTTTTCCAATAAATTATTAATGACAGAGCAGCCGTATCGATTAAGGTTAATTAATATTGATAGGAAGCAAGGTGACGATATATTTCGGTGATCTTCGGTGATCTTTGCTTACGAACTATATTGATATTTCAAGTAAAGTAATAAGTTATATTCAAATATTTGATGATTTTTTTGCAATTTGATGTTGTTTCTTCATGTGCTCACTGCTTTGTAACAGTGAACAATAAATAAAAATATTTTCTTACAAAAATTGCCGTGTACCATATGTGGTACACGTGGCACGGAACGTATTAAATAACCGAATGAATTCCATAGAGTTCTTTTTATCATGGAAGACTGTATCAATGAGATTCCACCATATTACGAGTTAAATTTAAAATTACGTATGTATCTCAGTCCACGTGTCGTTCGACTGTTTTGTTTGAATAATAATTTCGTACACATTAAATACGTTCCCAATGATCGTAAAGGGAATCCGAAATGAATACTTTCCACTGACACCGCGGAATAATTCAGTTGTGAGGCGCAACCTCCGGAATCAATTTATAAAATCTAGGATCAAACGGAGATACGTCGGTTCCATTACGCATACGGGGTGGGGGCTAAACGTTTCCCATTGCAAAAGGCGAATAATTTATTTACAGCACGCCTCGCGGTGCACAAAAGGAAAAACTCCGATGTGATATCCGATCAGCGGGAAACGTCCGTTTCAGCCGGCAACATTTATCGCGCCGCTGAAATATCGCGTTATCACGCGCGACCCACTTCCAATTTTTCTTCCATAATTATGGAAAAATCGCGGACGCCGTTCCGAGCCGATAATTCAATGGCCCCGTTAATCCGCGTTCTAAAATCCGAACCTCCGCGTTACAACACCGACGAAACGAGAACACAACCGATAGACTCCAATGTTTCCACTAAAAGAAAATCACGAGGGGAAAGCAATTACCGAAAACGCGAGGATCCAATCCCAACACCGCAAGATACAATTACAAAAGCAAAAACTCATTTAATACCGCCGCAAGACACGGACTCAATCGACCGGCCGATCGGACGCGCTCCGGTTCGCAAACACGATCAAAGCGAACAGGAACCAGTCGATTTGACTGGTCCCGACCGGTCGAAGACAACGGAAAATTCCATTTCGCTGGGAAAGGAGTAACGATTGTATCTCGTCCCATTTTTCTTCTCTTCCCCCCACCGCCGACACCCAGAAATGTTGTTCCCCGCGCGAAATAAAATTAAAGGCCGCGCCTCCTGCTGCCACCCCCATCCCCCGCCGCCGCCGCCGCTGCTCGCGCCAATACCGGGCCGGGTGAAATTGAAGCGTTTTAATGAAACCCCGGCTGCAGTCGCGTGTCCGCGGCATTCGAATGGAATTGTTAACAAGCCAGCGAGCCTCATTAGCATAAACTTTACAAACGGAATTATTCGGGCACCGCGCGACGCGGCGCGGAGCAGCGGCGAGCGGGACGGCCGATTACAATTTAACCGAGCGGCGACGCGAGCACTGGTTCCCGTCGATCGGTGATAAATTCACCGGGATTCCGATTCGTTTAATAAATCCGCGGGATCCGAGTCCACGCCGGAACAGCGAGAAACGGGAAACGAGACTTGTTATCAATTTATTGAAATGAATCGTAACGGAGTGTGGGAAACGACGGACGGTAGCATCCGAGCGGCTGAGAACGGAGGGGGGATGAAGTGACGAGAGCAATCGAACGGACCGCGACCGTCGTTTCGCGTCCGCGACAATGCACCGATGTAAACAGCGAACGCCGAGATTGAACGGTGGATCGACCGGTGATCGGGTCAGGCGGGACCCAATTTCGAGAT